CCCCAAAACCCCAAAACCCCAAAACCCCATCAAACTATAATAGAATAATTTTTATATTGGACATAATTTTTAATAAAATGAATTTAATTTTCAAGACCGATTGCATGCTTTTAGTGGCACTCACTATCATCTTCTTAATTGCTCCTTCATTATATCGTCTAAGTTCTAGTAAATAGATGACTTAGCAGGCTTGGCAACAGTTTTAACTTGCTTCTTTGGAGGGTTCTTAAAGATATCTTCATCCCTGGGCTTGATATAGTCAAAAGATAGGGGATCTTTAGGTTGAGAGTCTTTCAATTTCTTCTCTTGAGTAGCCTTCTTTTTGGCATCTTTCTATTGCTATTGCATGATTTAGTCCAAAGACATAGCCTAGATTTCTTGCTTCTTAACCTCTTCCTTGGGAAGGGAATATTCTATTTTGAAGTCTGGTTCGGCTTGTTGTTATATTTTCTGCTACTGCTATTGCTGAGCTTATTTCTTTTGTTGCTTTTTAGATAGTTGTTGTTCAATAGGAGCTGCTACTTATTGCTTCTTTTCTTCTTACTTCTTAGGGGCTGATTCAGCCTTTTTCTCAGCCTACTTTTCCTTAGGTGCTTGCTATTGAGGCTCAGTCTTCTTGACCTCTTCTTTTGGTTTTTTCTCTTGAGTTGGTTAAATTTCTTTTTATGTCTCCTTCACTACTTCTTTGATCTCTTCAACTTTTTGCTCTTAAACCTTTTCTTCTTTAATCTATTTATCTTCTTTAATCAATTTCTCAACTGGGGCTGCTTGTTATGTCTTGATGTTCCCTCTTTAGCTTAAGGGAGCTTCTCCACCAAATGAGAAATTGGCATAATCTTAATTAGGAATCACATCAAATATTTGTTTTTGCTCTTTAGGCTTTTCCTATTTAGCTAATTCCTACTACTCTTAAGGCTTATTTGCTTGTTTCTTTGGCTTTTCTTGGCCTGGTTAAAGGTTCTTCTGACCTGACTTAGCAAAGTTTTAGTTCTTATCATAATTCTTTGATTTATAAGATTTTTCCTTTTTGGCTTTCTCTTTAACAACCTCAAAGTCCTCGTCTTATTCTGCAGGCTCATCAGGCTGAGTCTAAACGTTCCTCTATATTTCTTCGATCTCTGCTACTTTAGGCTTTTCAACCTTTGGTTAGAAGTTTCTAGTGAATCCAGAGGCATCATTTTTGGTTTCTTCATTTTAATCTCTGTTTGGTCTTTTATACCCTCCTTTTTAGAAGTTGGTATTCTTGGTGTAGGCTTGCTGAGGAAGGGCGTATGGATTTTGCTCAAAATTGACTGGCTTTACGTAGTATGATGATATGAGTGAGTTGTATGGCTGCTCTTTCATCTCATTCCAAAGTCCTGCAGGAGCTCTTTGCACTTCAACATAGCTTTTTAACAAGAAATCTGAGGTTAAAACAATCCTTTTTCCAGTCTATAGATATGATTTTATTTAAAAAAGATCTTACGTTTTGTTCCATAGTTAATGATGATATGAGTATTACTTAATAATGCTAATAATTATTCAAACAAATCTTATATTCATAATTCAGCCACAATTCAGACTAGGGGTTTTGGGGTTTTGGGGTTTTGGGGATTACCTGTTGCACTATACTCA